TACTTAATTTCATTTGTATTTAGAAAAATGCAAATCAAGACTATAGTAGATAACTTTTAAAAATAATTTTTAAAAAGTTCATTTACTTTTTCCATGAGAGACACAAAGGGGGGGGGGGGGAGAGATGGATAGGCACCCCCTATAGGTCTTCACACTGCCATCGACATTCCCAGCTTTAGCCAACATAGGGTGACATGGACAGGATAGCTCCCAGGAGGCAAATCCAGGACAATCTTCCCCCCACCCCCTGCCCAGTATAGATCCAGTTGGATCACTGGGCCAAATATTAAAAAAAATTGTGATAAAATACACATAATATACACTGATAATTTTATGCTTTTTAGTGTACAATTCAGTGGTATTAAGTACACTCATAATATTGTATAATGATCTCCACTATTTAGCTTCAGAACTTTTTAATTACTTTAAGAGGAAATCTCATAACTATTAAGCATTTACTCTCCATTCCAACTTTCCTCCAGCTCCTGGAAACAACTTATCTGTTTTCTGTTTCTATGCAGCTGCCTATTCTGGATATTTCCCAAAATACAATAATAAAATATGTGGCCTGTTGTCTCAGGCTTCTTTCACTTAGCATAATTTAAAAAAACTATTTTTTAAAAACAATTATTATTTTTCAATTCGTTATAGGGCACATGTGCTCATCAAAGAGAAACAGAGAGGGAAAGTGAGAAAGCAAGCAGCCAGATCTGTGACTCAAACCATGGTTGGCCATGTGGGAGTCCAGAGCCTTAACTACCACACCACCTAGCATGATGTTTTAAATATTCATCCATGTACTAGCATGTATCTGTACTTCATTCCTTTTAATGGCTCAATGATATTTCATTGTATGGATGTACATTTGCTTATAAATTGCTTATGTACATATTTCTTTATAAATTTGCCACAGATAAAGGACATTTGGGTTGTTTCCACCTTTTGACTATTGTGAATACTGCTGTTACAGATATTAGTAAAATAACACTTTCTACCCATTTGACTGGCAAAAATTTAAGAAGAAAGACAATACCAGGTATTGAAGAGACCTCTTCAAGGTTGTATTATTGATGTGTCTATATGTTTATTTAACCATGTTGGAAAACAACTGGAGCATTATCTTGTGAGATTGAACATTCACACCATCTTTGATTTATCAGTTTCACTCCCATGTATATATCCAAGAGAAATTTAGCACACAGGTACCAGGAGACATACACAAGAAAGTTAATAGCAGAACTGTTCCTAAAAGCAAAACACTTAAATCACTTGCATGTGTATCAACAGTCATTTCTTTTGAGCAGTTCTATTCTAAAAGAAGTGTAGTAGTAGTATTGAGATGCATTTTTAATTTTTAAAAAAACTGCTGGGGCCAGCAATTACCCACATGGTTGTCTGCAGTTCAGGTCCCAGACCTGGTGGTTTGAAACTGACACTGGGCACATGTGCGTGCATGCCCAAGATCCTAAGAGGACAATAGAGTAGGGAATGTAGAGCAGCCATCCCCCACAGAAGGTGATTTCTCACTTTCCCTCTCACAGTCTCTCTTCCCTCTGGTGAGCGTACACACCTTATAGCAAAAATCTCTAAGAAAAAAAAAGAAAGAACAAAAATTGCTATAGGATGCATGTGCTCACCAGAGAGAGAGGGAGAGAGAACGTGAGAAATCACCCCCTTAGGTAGAGATGGCTATGCCACAATCTCTTCTCTTACATTCTCCTCTGGGATTTTGGGCATACATGCACAGGTGGTCAGCATGTTTTTCAAGCAAATCAGGGTTCAAGCTCTGCCCTATGGCATCTAGCTACCTTAACCACCACACCACTGGCTGGCCCGAGAAACATTTATTTTTAAATTTCTTTTAGCTTGCTATAAAGCATGTGTGTTTGCTGGAGACAGAGACAGAGACAGAGAGAGAGAGACAGAGAGACACACAGAGAGAGAGAGAGAGAGGGAGAGGGAGAGAGAGAAACAGAAATATGGAAAGTGATTAATTACCCTGTATGGGGGATGGCCATGCCACAATCCCTTCTCTTCCATTCTCTTTTTGGGATTCTGGGCACACATGTACATGCACGAGTGTGTTTTTCAAGTCACTGGGTCCAGGACTTGAACCACACAGCCAGTCATGCAAGATCCAGCTATCTTAACCTCCATGCTACCTACTGGCCCAAGAAACTTTTTCATAAAAGATGAGAGAATAGCAAGTTGTATGCTGAAGCACTGATTCAATGGAAGAGCGAGAAGAAATGGAGGGGCAGGACATCGGTGGGACAGAGAGATGGGTTATTGTCTATTGAGAATGATTCCCAACTGGATTGGTGAGAAATGTATACATGCTGGAATATTCACTTTGCAAGATTTGTGACTGAATGTATAAAAGAAATTGAAATAAAAAATATATTTAAAAAAACCCAATATACTACCCATACTGCTAGAGGCTAAAAAAAAAAAAAAGAAATTGAAATTGCTGGAGAATCCAATTTCAGACATTTAGCCTCAATTTGTCTTCCACTTTTGGAGGGTTCTGTCCATACCTTCAGTTTTGTTTTACTTCAGCTGTCCTTTCCTTTCTTTCTTATAAGTTTATGTATTTATCTCTTCCATGAGTGAGAGAGACAGAGAGAGAAAAGAGAGACACAGACCCTACAGGGTCCTAAAGCCATAATCCACCCCAGCCTCGCCAGTTCACTAGTGCACCTGGTGAACTCAGGGAAGTCTCTAGATGTGAACAGGACTTTCCATGTAGGTATGTCTCTTAGAATTGCATTATCTGGCCCCTGACTTGTCCTCAAACTGCTGGAACTTGCTACATTACCTATAGAAAATTCAGTTGGTGTACCTTCCATATCACCCCATAAATAGGATCCAATTTATCATGTCTTTACTCATAGATTACACAAAAGTCAAAATGAACGAACTACAGTTATTCCTAACGTGGATGAATATTAGTAACAAATTGCTAAATGAAAATAGTTGAAGACTACACACAGTATTATATCCTTTTTTAGAATGTTTAAACACAAGCTAAATTAAACAAATATTACTTAGACATATTACACCCTGATAACAGAAATGCTTAAGTACAAAATTCATGTAATGATTACTTCTGGGAGGAAGACAGGAGGATAAGGAAACAACCATATGGATCTAAGTCACTGCTAAACTTCAATAGATGGTTCAGTAGTTCACAAACTGGTGTACATCCAGACCACCTGGAGAACTGATTCAAACACCTAGACTGGGGCCAGATGGTGGCAATCAGTAATGCAACTAGACCCACATGGGAGGATCCTAGGTTTTTGTTCCAGGGTTTCCCTGGCTGAGGCTGGGTATGGAACATGGTGTGAAGCCCCTGTTGGGGATGCACGCCTTTCCTTCTCAGAAAAAAATAAAGATAAAACCTCTAGAAAACAAAAACACCTAGATGGTTAGTCCTCACCTCAAAGGTTTTTGATTCAGAAGACTTAGGGAGGGGGAGGGTGGCATGGGCATGGGGCTTAAGAACACGAATTTGTAAAGCCATTCAGTGCCTTGCTAGTGCTGCTGTTCTGGGGACCACACTTTGAGAATCACTGAAGTTCTCAGGTTGGATTGTGGGTTTACAATTGCCATTTCATTTTATTTCTAAATGTATAACTTAAGTTAAACGAGAAAGCAAAAGCCAGTCATAGACCAAAGATGATAATGTGTTTTTGCTTATTTTTAATTTTTTTGCCAGAGTGCCTCTGCGTTCTCAGAGAGAGACAGAGAGGAGAGAAAGCACCTCCCAACTGGGCGTGGTCACATGCCAATTCCGTCTCCCTTTCTATAGGATTTCGGGCACATATGCCGGATCCAGCTACCTTAACCTCCACACCACCTACTGGCCAGACAAACTCTTTATAAAAGATGAGAGAATAGCATTTGTATGCTGAAGCACTGGTTCAATAAAAAAAGAGATCCATGACAGGGACCAGCAGTTAGCATAATGGCTATGTCGCTGGACTCCCATGTAGTTGACTGGGGTTTGCGTCCCGGACCCGGTGGTTTAAACTCACGCCAGGCGCGTGTGTGTGCGCACCCAAGATCCCGAGAGGAGAAGGGACTGCGGCGTGGCCATACCACCTGGGGGGTGATTTCTCACTTTCTCTCTCTCTGTCTCTCTCTCTCTGGCGAGTGCACGCACCCTACAGCAAAAACCTCTCCAAAAAAGAAAATAAAAGAGATCCAGGACAGTGGGTTATGAACCAGGAATTAGTATTAACCTAGTCTAGGCTCCCAAATTCTCATAAATAAACTAGTATTTGTTATGAACAAACTTGAAAAACACTGTTCAAGACCATTAAATATTAATGACTTTTGAGAAATTTGAAAAATACTTCCTCCTGTGTGCACAACATAAGGTGGGTAACATACTGCATTCCACCTCCCTGGATTTCGACAATCTTTGGAAAGGCGTTGGCAGATCACAAATTTGCCTCTTTTATTTGGTCAACAAAAACTGCTTACAGAAAAGAGTTCCCCTACTTTCTCAGTTACCCTTTTTTCATATGTTCTAGGTAAGGTAATTATTTTTCTTCCTTTTTCTCGCCTTCCTTTCAATTTACTTAGGCTGTGGGATAAAAGGTAGATGACTTTTTAAAGACTGAATAGGGCATAGCAGAGGTTACACACTGTGTCTTGCATCGTGCCAGCTACCGACGGCATTTTGAGAAAAGCCTTAATGAAAAATGTGACCCCAAGCAGCTCAGCCTGGAGAGGGAACAAATATAGAAATATAAAACTACAACCCAAAGCAGGAAACATACAGTGCTATAACAAGGTAAAGAGTTACCCTCTTTCATAACCCCTCCCAAGCAGGCCCCTCCACGCTGTTTTTCTGGCGCGTTTCCGTCGGCGGGGAACCACTCGTGACCGGAGACCGGCCGCGGAGAGAGGAGGCGCGGCGGAGCAGAAGGCAGACTCCCGGGGCTGGATTTCATTGGCTTCCCGGCCGGAAGCTGCGGCGCGGTGCGCCCCTCACACGGGCGTCCTGAACGCCGCCTCTGCCGGCTGGGGTCGGTCCGCACCATGCTGCGTGTGTGTGTCCTGAGGCTGCTAGGACGCGCGGGGACCGGCAGGGTCTCTCTCCTGGAGGACTCTCGCCCACGCCACTACTGTTCGGACTCTCCCGGTAACCGCGACCTTGCCGGCGATGGGCGCGCCTACTTCACCACACCCATTTTCTACGTGAACGCGGCGCCGCACATCGGGCACCTGTACTCCGCGCTGCTGGCGGATGCCCTGTGCCGTCACCGTCGTCTCCTGGTTCCCCCGGCCGCCGCCACGCGATTCTCCCCCGGTACGGATGAGCATGGCCTGAAGATTCAGCAGGCGGCAGCCACTGCGGGCCTGACCCCGACCGAACTGTGTGACCGAGTCTCTGCCCAGTTCCAGCAGCTTTTTCAGAAGGCTGGCATCTCGTCCACCGACTTCATCCGTACCACGGAGGCCCGGCACCGTTTGGCTGTGCAGCATTTCTGGGGTGTGCTGAAGGCTCAGGGTCTGCTCTACAAGGGGCTCTATGAAGGTTGGTATTGTGCCTCTGATGAGTGCTTCCTGCCTGAGACCAAGGTCGCCTGGCAGCCGGGTCCTTCGGGGGATTCGTGTCCGGTATCTCTTGAGAGTGGGCATCCCGTTTCCTGGACTAAAGAAGAAAACTATATTTTCAGGCTTTCTGAGTTCCGGAAGCCACTCCAGCGGTGGTTGTGGGGCAACCCTCAGGCTATCACTCCCGAGCCTTTCCAGCATGCAGTTCTTCAGTGGCTGGAGGAGGACCTGCCCGATCTGTCCGTGTCTCGCAGGAGCAGCCACTTGCACTGGGGTATTCCGGTGCCTGGGGACGATTCGCAGACCATCTACGTGTGGCTGGATGCCCTGGTTAACTACCTCACTGTAATTGGCTATCCAAATTCTGAATTTAAGTCTTGGTGGCCAGCCACCTCTCATATCATAGGTAAGGACATTCTCAAATTCCATGCCATCTATTGGCCTGCCCTCCTCCTAGGGGCCGGCATGAGCCCGCCACACCGCATTTATGTCCACTCCCACTGGACTGTAAGTGGCCAAAAGATGTCCAAGAGCCTGGGCAACGTGGTGGATCCCAGAACTTGCCTTGACCGCTATACTGTGGATGGTTTCCGTTACTTTCTTCTTCGGCAGGGAGTCCCCAACTGGGACTGTGACTACTACGATGAAAAAGTGGTTAAGTTGCTGGACTCCGAACTGGCAGATGCCTTGGGAGGTCTCTTGAACCGATGCACTGCCAACAAAATAAATCCTTCGGGTACCTACCCGGCCTTCTGTACTACCTGCTTCCCCAGTGAGCCAGGGTTGGTGGGGCCATCAGTTCGTGCTCAGACAGAGGACTATGCTTTGGTGAGCGCGGTGACCACATTGCCCAAGCAAGTAGCAGACCACTATGATAATTTTCAGATCTATAAGGCTCTGGAGGCAGTGTCTACCTGTGTTCGGCAAACTAATGGTTTTGTCCAAAGGCATGCACCATGGAAGTTGAACTGGGAGAGCCCAGTGGATGCTCCCTGGTTGGGTACTGTGCTTCATGTGGCTTTGGAATGTTTGCGAGTCTTTGGAACTTTGCTCCAGCCTGTCACTCCAAACCTAGCTGATAAGCTACTGTCTAGGCTTGGGGTTTCTGCCAGAGAAAGGAGTATTGGAGAGCTACATTTCTTGCCTAGGTTCTATGGACATCCATGCCCTTTTGAAGGGAGGAGGCTGGGACCTGAAACTGGGCTTTTGTTTCCAAGACTGGATCAATCCAAGACTTGGCTGGTGAAAGCCCACCGGACCTAAACACTTTCTATTGGCTTTTTCTTTTTCTTTTTTTTTTTAAGTGAATGTGATATTTTCTTATTTTCCATTTTCAGGGAAGTTATACTAGTGTTTTGTAACATATTGCATCAAAATGAGTACCTAAGCTGTGTCACTGTGAGAAGAGGTTTGTAGCCATTCAAGACTACCTGCTAGTCTTTTCTTTGTCCATTAACCACTGTCGTTTTTGCACCATTGTGTCTAAGATGTTGTGTCAGAGGAAAAGATATTGAAGAGACAGTATTACTGGTAACAGTTTTTCATTGTACCTCCTTCCAAACCAGTTATTTGCCCAAATTACCTCCTAGCTTGTTTTATATTGACTTGGCCTCTGTTGCTCTAATTAGTCCAGCGACTCTTTTTATTGAGGGTTGGAAGCTCCCTACTTCAGTTTTAGTGTACCCCTGCTTTGTTATGCATGCTGGATTTCCTGTTAAAAAGAGATTTTTAAAATTAAACCCTTAAAAGCCAGTGTCCTAGATCAGATGAATTTTTTAAGGGTGGAGAAATCAGAAATTGTTTGTGGGACTCCATCATATCTAGGGGTTTTGTTTTCTGTTTTTCTGTTTATTTCTTTTGAGGGAGAGTATATGGGGGGAGAGGAGGGGGTGGAGGGAGAGAGAGAGAGAGAGCGAACGAGCAAGTGAACAGGCACCCCCAGAAAGAGGAAACCCCATGTTCATCCTCACTCTTTGAATTCCCACAAGGGCTCCCTAGTTCATTAATAGCCCAGCAGTTGTACTCTGTAGCTTTATACTTCAACCAGTAGATGGCTCTAGTCTCACACATTTAGTCACTGAAGATCCAGGTTTCAGCATATTTAGAATAAATTAGTTTTCTAATTTTGCAGATCTTTACATTTTTATAGCTGTTCTTAAAAAAAGGGATAAAACTATGGGGCCAACAGGTAGGTTAGGGTGCTAGACTCCCATATGGCTGGCTACAGTTCAAGTCCTGGACCTGGCAGTTTGAAAATCATGCCAGGCACATGTGCGTGTGTGCCCAAAATCTCAGAAGGAGAATGGAGGAGAAAGGACTGCAGCATGACCATCCCCCTTGGGGGATAATTTCTAACCTTTCCGAAATCTCACTTCTCTCTCCCTGGTGAGTGCATGTGCCCTATGGCAAAAACTTAAAACAAAACAAAACACTGTTTTTAACTACTACTGTTCCAACAGAAAGCAATTAAAAAAAAAAGCTATCAGAATCCTCCATTTTTTCAACTACTGAAAAGTGACATTCTTTTAAATGTTTAGCATAGCAATAAGTAAATGTATCAAGTTGTTTTATATGATAAACTTTAATGCTTTTTTGAGATATCTGGTATGTTAAAATTTTGAACTTTAATAACATTAGGTTACAGGTATGTTTTAAAAAATGTAAATACTTCAAAAGGGAAATATTTTCCTTATATTTCTTACAGTCTTAATTTTGTTATCCACATACATAATTTACCTCATGATTTCTTTTGGTCAGTCAAGATGTGCAGTACAGTATATAAATTGTATAATTATCATGATTAATGTTAACATTTTTACTTTCAAATAGTTTTTACTGATTATTTCTTTTGCCTTTTTAAGTTATTAAAGTTTAAAAATCTGTAAATCTGTTCTGTTGCATTTGTCGAAGGTGATGGTGAAGGGAGGGAATGATCAGTTCTTTAGGAATCTCAAACTGACTTTAGGGATCTCTCCAAGGCATCACCAAGATGTTAAGGTATCAGTTTATACAATGACTATAACATAGTAAGCTAGTGTTACATTTCACAGGTGATTGGACAGCTAGGACAAAATTTAAAATGAGAACTTACCTTGGAATATCTATTCTTGGTATGGTAGCAATGGAGTGGCTTCACTAAAAACTATTGTGCTGGTAGTTCCTTCATATTTATTCTAGGTTCCACCAGTTAGCTCCAGTTTTTGTTTATTAATCAGTGAGGTGAAGGATTTCTGGTTGCTTGGAAACAGTACTTGGAAAAGAATGCTTTCAGGCATTCTAAAGGTGGAAGGACCATTTCCTTAAATGTTCCTTCAGACCCTCTCTATTCTTTGTAATTCTGGTTTTTTTTTTCCCCCCACTGAAAAAAAATCCAACTTTATTGAATATAGGAATGGATGGATTTTCAAATTAATTATGTTTTGCCTTATGGTTATTACTTTTTTTTTTTTTTTTTGGTTATTACTTTTATAAGCCCTCTGATCCATGGCAAAACTTTCTAACTGGTATATACAGAAATGCTTTCCTATTTTTGCCAAGTTTATATTGTTTCAGTTCTATAGGTGCATAAACAAATACATTTAACTACACAGGATCATTTTTAACTGAATTACTGGTACATGGTAATGCATTGCAACTGGTAGTAAGAAATCAACTTCTAAGTACAATTTTTTATGCAAAAATTTAAGTTTTACACTTTCTTGTTCTTACACTAGAATTGATGTCACAACTTGAAGGCAAGCAAATACTTTTAGCTGAATAAAAATATGTAGTATTTTCATTATTTCAAACAATGCAATGTAACCCTTTCTTGAACAAAATGGCCAGGGTGCTAATTGGAGGAAGTGTTTAATAAGCATACTTTATTTAAATAAGTTCTCCAGTAGGACATGGAGAATTCACTGTCTTTACTTAGAAGGCCATGCAAATGGTCTGTCAAATATGTATGTGCTGTTCACCAACATTCCCTTATTAGAAACATCAGAATGTCCACATCACAGTTCCTGAAAGGACTTTAAAGTCTCAAAATTCTGGTTCTTTGGTTTGCTTTGCTCTTGGTTCCACCTAGGCTTTCTTTTTTTTTTTTGAGAGATTTTCGCTATAGGGCGCGTGTGCTCACCAGACAGAGACGTAGAGACAGAAAGCGAGAAATCACCCCCCAGGGGGGATGGCCACGCCGCAATCCCTTCTCCTCCATTCTCCTCTCGGGATCTTGGGCACGCACGCACACGCGCCTGACGTGAGTTTTAAGCCACCGGGTCAGGGATGCGAACCACGGTCGACTACATGGGAGTCCAGTGACATAGCCATTACGCTAACTGCTGGTTCCCTACCCAGGCTTTCTTAATGGTTTGCTTCATATTGTCTTCTCCATCTTCATAAATTTTCTTTAGAACATTTATCAGTCCCTCAATAGGATTTGTTTCAGTGTCGTATGAAGGCTTTTCTTTCTCTTTGCACTTTTTCAACCTGAGTCAGGTAGTCCCATTGTATGTTTTCTGCTTTCTTTCTATATAATATGAGAATTGTTATCAGTCTTAAATTTTTTTGAACTGCCTTCAACAGAGATGGGTTTCAAGATTGTTCACAGTCATGGAGTAACTCTTGCCATTTAGGTTTTTTACCAGAAGATAAAATGACCTCTCTACGAAATGCACCTGCGTGTTCTCTGTAGGAACTTGAACTCCAGTTAAGGCAATGTAGATTTTCACAAAGTTATCTGATTGATCCCATCCATAATTACCAATTTTCACTGTATATCCTGGTGTGATGGGAGCAACCACAGCAGTTGGCTTTTCACTGTCAAGAAGTTGTTTTTTTTCTGTGATTTTTGTTTCATCTTGTCCTTGATTTCTGTCTCAGTCTTAAATTACTCTTTTCTTAGTGGCCTTTTCCAGTAATACCTTTACTTCTTATAGTTCTGTAGCTCTTCTAGAGTTGAAACCATGGTCTTGGTGAGTACTGATGGCCCAAGCTGCAGCAGCGCAGGAAAGGGGATGCTGCACAGAGTGTGCTTGCTCAAGCGCAGAGCTGCAGCCTGGGTACACACCCCTGTGCCAGGTTCTCCCCTCCCCCCCCTTTTAAGAGAGGTTTTTGCAATATGGCTTGTGTGCTTGCCAGAGACAGAGACAAAAAGCGAGAAATCATCCCCCCTCCCCTGGGGGGATGGCCACTCTGCAGTCCCTTCTCCTCTGTTCTCTTCTGGGGATTTTAGTCATGTACACACATGTGCCCAGTGTATTAAGCCACTGGGTCTGGGACTCGAGCTATAGTCAACTACGTGGGAGTCCAGTGACATAACCATTGCTCCATCCGCTGGTCCCAATTCTGGGCTTTTTATATTCTTGTTAACATATTCTATTAATAGTTAACAGGTGGGATTACTAGGGGAGACTACTGGGGCATAGAATGTGCAGTATCTCCTAGATCTGGATAGAGTTAAAAGTAGTGAAAGATGGCATGTAATTTACATAGATGAGGAAAACATATGGGAAAGCAGTGGGATGCCAACCTCTGCCTTTGAAGTGCCCTTTTAACAGTGTGATAGTTCATACTATGGACAAAGACACAGTATCTTCCTCTTTCCTATGGGCTGGCGCTGGTCAGTACACTAGATCTTGGCATGCTCAAGAATGTTAAGTTCATTTTTGCTTTTTCTTTGGAGAGGTTTTTGCTATAGGGCGTGTGTGCTTGCCAGGAAGACAGAGACAGAGAGACAGAAAGTGAGAAATCACCCCCCAGGGGGGTTGACCACACTGCAATCTCTTCTTCATTCTCCTCTTGGGATCTTGGACACGCATGCACACGCGCCTGGCATGAGTCTAAGCTGCTGGGTCTGGGATTTGAACCACAGTCGACTACATGGGAGTCCAGTGACATAGCCATTATGCTAACTGCTGGTCCCAGGGGTGTTAAGTTCTTTTGTGTAGTCTGTCACTTGTGTAGGCACTTAAATGGCTACTTTGTGGTACCAAAGGACATAAGAGGGGAACCAGACAGGAAAGATTACAGAAGACAAGTATTTTGAGTGGAGTGTGAAAAATTGGATCTGAGTTCTGTGGTGATTTGATGATGAATCAGTTGAATTCTACACAGGAGGCATAACAAGTAAAGCAAATGTTCTTTGGTACTCAATGTGTTTGAATTGATCCAGCAGTTTAAGAACTGCAAGTGGGGATATGCAAAATTTAAACTGGAAGGCATGTACTTACAGGGTGTGGGGTATCCTAATTACTTTAGGAAGAAAATGATAAACTCATATAGCTCTAAATATCCCCTTGGGGACCAGCAGTTAGCATAATGGCTATGTCGCTGACCTCCCATGTAGTCGACTGTGGTTCAAGTCCCGGACCCAGTGGCTTAAACTCACGCTGGGCACGTATGCGTGCGTGCCCAAGATCCCGAGAGGAGAATGAAGGAGAAGGGATTGCAGTGTGACCATCCTCCCTGGGGGGAGAGGGGTGATTTCTTGCTTTCTGTCTCTGTCTTTCTGGTGAGCACACGCACCCTATAGCAAAAATCTCTCTCAAAAAAAAAAAAATCCCCTTGGCCCCAGAAGCATCCTTTTTTTTTTTTTTTTTAAAAGAGATTTTTGCTATAGCACATGTAAGTGTTCACCAGAGAGACAGACAGAAAGCAAGAAATCACCACGCTGCAATCCCTTCTTCTCCATTCTCCTCTTGGGATCTTGGGCACACATACACAAGCATTGGTGTGAGTTTGACGCCACTGGGTCCATGACTTGAACCATGGTTGAATATGTGAGAGTCCAGTGACATAACCATTACACCCTCTGCTGGTCCCCCCAAGAACTATTAAACTCTTTTCTGGCACCTAGGGAGCCCTTGATCAAAAAGGAAATTTCTTGGGACCAGCAGTTAGCGTAATGGCTATGTGGCTGGATTCCCACGTAGTCGACCGCAGTTCGAATCGTGGACCCAGTGACTTAAACTCACGCCGGACACATGTGTGTGCGTGCCCAAGTTCCCGAGAGGAGAATGGAGGAGAAGGGATTGCGGCGTGGCCCTCCCCCCTGGGGGGTGATTTCTCACTTTCTGTCTTTCTGTCTCTCTCTGTCTGTCTGATGAGTGCACATGCCCTATAGCAAAAACCTCTAAAAAAGAGAGAAATTTCTTCTAAATACTTCTGAGGTTCTCAAGTATTCATTTTGGTGTATTCTTGGAAGTAGTATTGCAAAAAGTGATGGAGC